TTAGACTCAAATACTTACTTAATCCGTTCCTCTTATGTCCTATGGTGTTGAGGTTTTTCCATTTGATAATTTTAGACATGGTAGGACTCCTTGGACAAGTGATCAGCTAGTCGCAAGGCCACTACCTGAATATAGGACAACACTAACACAGAATAAAAGCGTACACACACCAAACATCCATGCCTTGTGTGGGATTCGAACCCACGATCCCGGTTTTAGAGCGAGTGAGAACAGTACGTGCTTTAGACCGCTCGGCTATAGCGACCGGCCTTAGATTTAAATGCGAAAAGATATACACAACAACTACACATCTCAACTGGAAAAAGTCTGCAACCCCAGCTGAATGCGTGGCAGAATGGAAAGTGTATATACGTCATAACTGGAAGAAGACTTTCTTTGTTTGTTTCTTTACTTATGAGTCCCATTCTTTCGTGTCCCTTCAGACGTTCATCATAAATTTCGTGAGGGAAAATGATAAAAAAAGCGCTGGAATCTACAGGTGACGCTCTCGACTCCTGCACTAGACAACAGAGGAGGGTCGATAGGACAGAGGCTCGCTGCCACTGTTCCACAGCTCCGCCGCACAAGAAAATCCCACACCCTTTAAACTTTTCTTGTACTGCAGTGACACTTCCTGCTATGTGTTTCCGATGAGGGACTGTTACTCCAGCTTCCTCAACCAGGGTTTCAGTCTTCTATCGTCTGTCCGAGGCTGCACATTCAGCACAGTAGGAGCTAACCTCCCTATAGGAAGGCGGTCCCCTGCACCTGCACCATGTCGTGGTGGAACAAGAACTTATTTGGCGTGTGAAAGGGACATTCCTCGACCATATTATTCAAGGTCGCTGCTTTCAGGCTCTATTATAGCCGAATACGAACTTACATCCCACAAACAAACATCCAGTTTGTCATAAGAGCGGAGATAATGGCGAGTGGATAGGGAGAATGCTACTTCAGCATATTGAAACCTGTCGCAACAACATGATTGATTGCTCTCATGCTTTTCTTTTCTCTTTTTAATTTGGGCTTTGCCTGTTAGCGTGAAATATTAATAGATTCTAAAGGGTTCTGACGATGGTGTATAAAACTTGTACTCCTCCAAATCCCATTCTCATTTGATTCGGTTCTGTATTACTTACATATTCTCTAGGCATACTCATAGCAAACACATCCGTTGTCCAGCAATGGATATACGCGAGTGACCTACAAACAACACTTTCTCTATTGTTGGATTTATAACGCGTTGCATGGCAACGGAAGTTATCCGATTGTTGCCTGCTTATTCATTGTAAAGAGTGCATGTTTTCTGGCCTGTTGTCCAGGAATGGATCTAAATGTCACAATATTTAAACATGCAATTTTTACCACACAAGAAGACACACTATATCTCCACTAAGAAGATCAATCAGAAAGCCCTGTTTGAGGGAAGAATCGTTGTTTGTTATGCAAATCATATAAAAATGGATTCTTTAGACAAACTGGGAGTTGCTTAATATTAAAATGGATGGACATACAGTAACCACTTTGATCTGTAGGATTGTACTTGTACCACTGTACACTGTAACGTACAATGTCTTTGACTCCTAGTGATGTATTGGTCATTAAGCGTATAAACAGTAAATTTAACCTTTAAACTGTGTAAGCAGATCCTAACGCTTGAATTATTACTAGGGATGTATAACTTAGTTGTTGTAATAAACCTGCAGTAAATTATGAGGGAACATAGGAATATTAATAGCAGTAATATACCAATTATGTCGTCATGCATCTACAAACTCTAGTGCTCCGTGCCTGTAAAGGCAGAATGTTGCAATCCACCCCGCATGGCCTCAGCTAATTACGAGGGCGTGGTATCCAAGAAAGCGCAGCTATCACCGTCAGTTGTGGTCTGGCATGTCCACAGGGTGTCATTTGAGCCTTGGGGCCACGCGAGGAACATAACATCAACGCCATATCCCAAGCTTTCGTATCTTTGTTTGTTTTGTACGGGTGTGGACCTTACACGCTCTCTATAGGTAAATAAAGACTGTTTGAAAATTTTGTGCTGGGGAGGATATCTGAATCTCAGAAACGTAAAAAAAACAGAATAATGGAGAAAACTTCTAAATGAGAAGCTTCCTCGATTATACACTTTGTCAAATATAAGTAGGGGAACGAATCAAGAGGCATGAGCAGTGCAGAGCGTATAGAACTCACGAAAGAAATGAGAAATACGAGTATATACAGAATTTTAATCGGAAAACCTAAAAGAAGGTACCACTTCGGAGACTGAAACAAAAATGGAATGATAATATTAAAGTGGACATTGAAGGAACATCTTGTGAAGGTGGTGCGAAAGTGCGGACAGGGACTAACTGAGAGTTCTTTGAATAAGGCGTCACTTGTAGGATATAGTTCCTTTATGATAAATCTATTGTATATATTGTATCAGATGCACTCATTATTTCACTTAAGTGTAAGTCGAATTATTACAACTGTTGTTTCATATTTTGGAGTCCATGGTTCAGTTACCATTTCAGGGACTCTCTTTTACCGTAAGCCCAGAACGCTTCTTTCTTCCTGCTTTCCGTGCATCTTGAAATCGACGCCGTACATACTACGCAGTCGAGTGAGCATCACTATACAAACGCAAGATCTTATTTCCCTACTGCCTTACACTCCTACCTCAAAGGCGCTGTATCAGCTAAGTCCAAGAACCCTAGCCGAACCCAAGAGCTTTCTGAATCCATCCTACTGAAAATCGCGGTGCAGATATCAACACTCAGATATATATTCGGGGAGGGGTTCCAGGTTCAAATCTCAGTCCAAGAGCAGGATTTCCAGACTGATATTCTCCATGATTTCTCTCATTTCTCCGAGAAAATGAGAGGCTAGTAATTCAAATTAGGTTGCATCGGTATCTTCCACATATTTTCCTAAATACTATTCATTAATCGGGGACACGCGGTAGCGTAGTTGGTCGCAGCACTATGCTGCAAGCCGGAAGGTCGCTGGTTCGAGTCCCGATCAAGTGGATTTTTTTTAGTTTGCCTAATCCCTCCAGCCGCACTATGACCCTGCGGTCGACTCAACCTCTAACAGAAATGGGTACCATGAATATTCTTGGAATATTCTTGGGGGTTAAGGGCGGCCGGCGCTTAAAGCTGACAATCTTACCGCCATCTTTGAGCAGACTGTCTAGATAATGTGGAACCCTCAACTTCTCACAACCCTATGGGCCTCCAAGTCTGTTACAGGGATAGCTTTACTTTATTTTTAGTATTAATCAGTCATGCTGCGCTGTATACACTGAGCTACTGACAAAACAAAACAAAAAACAAACTCCGTGGCTTGAGTCCGCAAGTGAAATATACCGACTTAGCGACCGCCGCTTGTCGGCGAAGTTAGTGTCAACTTTAGCGGATAGAGGGTGTTACGTGGTCAGCGCAACAAATCCCCAAGGCCATTAATCTCGGTTTCCTAGACCAGAATCGATAATTTTCCATTTAAGCAGCTCCTTAATTATCCTTACGAAGCTGAGTGGAACCCGTTCCAGACTCACTACTTCTCAGAAAATTTGGTAGCACCAAGTATCTAAGCCGGTACCTCTGGATCTGTAACTAGTAACTCTAACTACTAGACCACTGAGGCTACTGACTGTGTCGTTATAGAAAGCATGAATAAGTAAATAAGAAAATATATGAATACACAGCTAAGACCGTTCTGTGACACTTTCATGTTGATTCTTTTCCAGGCGAGGCAGTCGTACATCCTGGCACCGAAGGACCTCAGTGAAGCCGCAACTGTCTCTGTCATCTTCTGCATTTTATCCACAACCCTGACTTGCGGACTCAAGAAAGAGAGACTGCCACATCTCACCGTTCTCCCTTCTCCTTGTGAAGAGCCTCTACAGCGTGCAATTTGTGAACAGACTGGGCTTCAAATGAAACTGTTATAATATGTAGATAAAGCAAAACAAACTTAGGACAACAGCAGGAAAGAAGTGGTTGAAATTTTAACATCAGTTTCGAGATAAATTACTTTTTATATGAAAATAACGTAATCTTTTTTAGCTTACAGACATATTTAAATCGAAGAAACCAAACCTTACCGCCTTACTTCAGACTTAACACGAACATGAAAGACAATTACGCATGCGCAATCTCTGAATTCGAAAGTTCGAATAAGAACTACAAAATTTTTACACAAAATGTGGAACATGATATTCAATAGCTGGTGTTAATTGTGTGTCGTGTCTATGTGGTGCACAACTACAGGCAGAAAATTTAACGTTTACGAACCTGTTTAAAAGATATCACTATATTATTTAACTGAAAGAGCTGTTCTCCAATTATATAAAATAAAAATTAAATTAAAAATTCTTCGAAAATTACCTTAGGTTCACAGAAGAACTCATATTAAGACGTCAGTAAGAAGAGTAGTGTTCTGAGCTCAGTGCACAAGAAATTAGATGTGCTACGAGGAGTGAATGGAAACAGTTTCTTTTTTTTTTCAGGAAGTTCGAAATTGGTCTCAGAAAGAAGAAGAAAATTTCAGCCGATAACCATTTAAATTTCTGATAAAAATGAAATAGCCTTAAGTCATCCGTAAACGATATTTATATTTATAGTTTTTTGGCCATTTTCAACTTGAAAGAGGAGTACCTAAGTTATATCACCTGTGTTCTCTGTTTCTTATATTACCTTCTGACGATATGACTGGGTTAGTTTGCGATATATTTTAAAGTGAAAGCAACGAAATGTTTATTAACAGTATTCCTGAAATTAAATGCAAATAAATACGCGTGTTATAAAAGTAAAAATATTACATCTAAGACTGTATTTTGCATTTTATACTTATGACTATATTTATATTAAAATCCAAGAAAAAATCAGTTTTAATTGAGTAATTGAGCGAAAAATCCGAATTTGTCCTTATATAAGTGATTTAATTAGCAACGAAATATATAGAATAATCATCCGTGATGATAATAAATTAAATTGAATCACAGAAAATTGAAGTTAAATTTTAATAACATTTTACAAACACAGTGAATACATAACTGTCAGTTGAATTGCAGAAAACTCTTTGGACATATGTGTTTACGGGAAGTGCATTTTGGATATGGGACATTTATCGGTGCTTTCAAACCACAATTTATCATTGGATGTACAGTCAGTCAGATGATAACCAGAGGAGTAACTGAGTGACCTGAGGCAAGATGGAGCTCAATAGCAGCGTAGCCATGAGCATCAGCAACGACACGCAGAGCCATGAGATCCTGTCTTCCAACACATCCAACGTATTTTGTCCGGGTCTCGCTGACTTCAGCGTGGGATACAGACGGGTAAGCTGTAGATCAACTTTGAGTCTCGTGCAAGGCTGATACCCTTCATATTGCTACATGCGAGTATTCACACTGCCACGTAAAAATTTAGTTACAGATTCACAAACATGATTAAAACGCGGATAATTCGTTTCCTACACATCCGACGTGAAAACAGTAGAAATGGCTTTAACTTTTCACAAATGGCGTGATTATTATATTCGGAGAAGATTTACAGTTTTCAGATATGCACGTTTTTTGTTCTTTTGCATATTTCACTGGGTTAGTGGGCACGAGGTAGCGTACTAGGTTGAGGCACAATGCTACAAGCCGGAAGATCGCGGGTTCGATTCCCAATGAGGTTATTCGATTTCTTAATTGATCTAATCCTTCCAGGCAAACTATGACCCTGGGGTCGACTCAACCTCTAACAGAAATGGGTACCATGAATATTCTTGGAATATTCTTGGGGGTTAAGGGCTGCCGGCACGTAAGGCTGACAAACTTACCGCCATCTGTGAATCGATTATGTAGATAATGTTGGACCCTCAACGTCTCACAACCCTATGGGCCTCCATGGCATGTTATAAGGATAGCTTTTACTAGGCTAGTGAAGCGGCCTCCGTAGTCTAGAGGTAACGATCCCACCTCATGACTCGTGGTACGCGGGTTCAAACCTGGCGGAGGTGGTGGAATTTTTAAGGGCGGAAAAATTCAGGGAACAAGTACTCCGGGAGGGACTTGTTCCAAAGGAGGTTACTGAGCCAAATTCAAAGACATTTCCCGCCCAACAGTAGTCTCTAACGCCTCTCATAGATGGGGGAAGCATTATAGATACCGCCAAGCCAGTAGAGGCCGAACTCGCTGGCTCGGTCGGGACTGATGGTACGCACCAATATCGGTAGGGTATAGAGACTGGTAGAATATCATAGAGGGAAGCACAATAGACCAATACTGGTCTAAGTGCATGGGGAAACCCACCCTCTCCAATAACTAACTAACTAACTACTAGGCTAGTGTGTTAAGAGGTTCTCATAGGGGTGACTATGAATATCCTTGTCTTCTGGAATTTTACGCCGTGTAGTTTCGTGAATAGTTATCAATATTTTGGGAGAAAACCCTGTTACCTGAAAATTAAGAGATAAAGAATGGCTTTTCTGCCTAGAAGATGGAGTCGATAAATTTCTCCGAAACTTTTATAACAATCTTCCAGACTACACAGTGTTACATTCCACAAGGCAGTAATCCTTAGTGGTCTTGATATTCATTTTATAGAGATACAAACCTACTGCTGCGAGGCTAATCACATTACACACAGTCGGAAATTACATTTCCTTGTCCAGTGAATGAGATTAGCTCTTTCTAGGAGACCCAACAGAGTACATGTCTTCTCCCCCCTTATCTGAGGACGGAAACAGATCCAGTTTGAGAAAAGTCGTGTTTTTTTTCTAGAATACCGGACGATGGAAAAAGTCTAAAAACCCAGCAATTCTGTATATTATATTATGAGTTAACCGCTGCTGTGATGTAACACTGAATACAAAGTTGTGTTTCCTTTCAACCGCTTTATTACCAGCTTAAGGGTTTAGAGCCCAAATTATTATAAACTAAATTCAGTTTTCGAATTGGCTTCCATTAGCTAGAAACCAAGCCCCTTGGGGTTGCTCTCCACTGAACGTCTAATCCTTTATACACTTTCATCTCATTTCCTATTGCAGCAACAGCTTCGCGCATGCGCTCTTAGTAACTGTTACATGTGAGCAAGAACCGCACAAGTCGGGTATAAAAGTTTCCTTTTTTCACACAATTCTTGTATATAATCTGCAGGATCTGCAATAAATGTATGTGCTCAGTAAGTACTGACTCGTGAATGAGTTATGCCCAGTGGTGTAAATCATATACTTCTTTCTATTTACTTAGGTAAGTTCCCCCCCTCTTGCGTAAAGCAACAGAGGCGTGAAGCTGACCACTCAACTCCAGCTAGTGCCTAGTTTAAGAAAATGTGGATCTATACATCCATTCCCCCATACACCTTCATGGCATAGTGCTTAATTCGTTGAGCACAGAGAAAAATTTACCTTTACCTCCTTAGGTATCATATTAATGCTTGTATTGGGGTTTTACTCCTATCTGTCTGCTAGAGTTAGGACGGTCACTTTTTCAGTCTATGTGTAGTTTCGCTATTGTCTAGGAGATTCGCTGCTAGTGCATGAGTGTGGTTTTCTAATTTCCTTAAGTATTTGGTGTTCCACTTTTTTATTTCACTGATCACTATGTTCATTTTTAGATCCTGATCAATCCTCTGGTTGTTTATGTATCAAGGTACATTCAGAATGGATTTGGGAGTCTTGGATTTGAAGCGCTTGATGATTTCGTTGTTTGGAATTTAAGACTGTCCCCATAGCTGAATTCCGGATACAAAAGTTAGACTAAAAATAAACGCGTCCCACTGTTGTTAACGTGCTGCACAAAGCTATCGTTTGGTGACACAGGTGAACCGGAATATTGTTTGCAGGACACAGTTTATTCCAATGACACACAGAATATTTTCCTGACATCTTATCATTACACAGTTAGACATTTTGTGTAGCGAAGAACTTACACGATATATAACCAGTTACTTGGTCCATCTCGTGTAGAGAGATCGTTACTTACTCGACATTGCCAAACTACGGGCCGAGGGTTTTTATAACAATTCGAAAACAGAAGTTGATTTAATAACATTTAGAAATTCAGTTCTTACATCACCGAATTCACAAAAGTCTTCCAGTAGTCCTATCCTGACCTACACGAATTCAGTCACACATTTCCTTCATACATATATAAAATCTCTGTTATTAGTATCCTCTCACATAAGCCTAGGATTTTAATGTGATCTTCGGCGTTATTATATAAAAGGATGATAAATTCTGGACTAGATGAACAACGATTAGCTTCCCAAGAAGAATTCTAGCTCATGCAGTTAGTTCCTACCTAATAGAAAACACACTGCATCTCCATTACAAACTTCGAAATATTAATTATATATATATACATAACAACTGTTTGTTCTGAGAATCATAAGAAACATACAAACATGATATGTGGGCAGAATATAAGATTTTAAAATGCTAAAGTGAGTGGTATCTATAGCAACAACAATTTATAAATTGGTTAGCGTGCAGAGTGGCCATCTATAAATTGCCTCAAATACTTGCACAAGTGAACTTGACAGAATTGAGGCTGGAAAAGTAAACATATATGACACATTACACAAGTCAGCTGCCAGCTGAGACACAATGTAATTTTCGTTGCGAATTCTTGTTTTCTCCAAACACACACATAGGCTCATTACGTCGCTAACTCGATTGTAAATCAAACAAAGTTTCGGCAAGTTTATAATTTCTGCAAAAGAAAATAATCTAAATTGCCCAAATTAACAGCGTGCCCCTCAGACAGCGTGCCCTTGACTTCTGGCTGCAAGAAGGGACGTGTAAGAGAAACAAAACAGCAACTCCTCGGCAGAACTCGTAACACATACAACTTCCCTTTATTCAAAATGGCGACACTAGCAAGGATGATTAATTAATCTTTCGGGATTTCTTTCATATTTTTACATGACAAATTTTCATCCAGTTAATGCCGTTTCGGTTTCAAAAAGTCAGACACGGGTATTGAATTGGAAGATGATTTTTCAAGTGTTAGACCGAATGCTACAGAAAGTCTCCCTTGAGGTCAACTGCTCTGAACACACAACCGCGATTCCCTTTTCAATCCTTCTTTTTCTGTTTCATTTTTTTTAATTTTAATATATTTGAACAAATTCCGATAGGAAATCGAATCAAAATTTGCACAAACGGATCTTAAAGTTTTTATAAATATAAAGTTTAGGTATTCTTCATAGTCACCGCTGTAAAAACATCAAGTCTTACATATATTAGGGATTCATTTCATATAACAATTGGTATGTGAAATTTAGCAAAATGAGCACTACATATTTGGGCCCCTAGTGCTCATACCATATATATCTTGAACATGCCACTTACTGAGTTTTATTTAGGGAGATTGCCTTCATAATCATCACAGTATAATGCAAATCCTTAAAGCTGTATTACAGGAAAATATTAAATTTTGGGAGGGGAGCCAATATAAAGAGTCCTGTTTTTTGAAAATGAAATGTTAAAATTCACCAAACACAGATCTAGAATAGATAAATTCTTGAATAGCAAATATGCATAAAATCATTGCATCTAATCAGGCGCTAACGAGAAGCACAATCATATATCGATACATACAAAAAACATACATAGAAACATATAAACATCACTCAATCACTCACTCATTCCTAGAGCTGAAAACTTCTCGAGAAGCCGTCAATTGTGCAGCTACTCAAGAACTTCCCAGTGATTTATGGAACCCGAAAGTTCATTAGCTTGTTCACAAGAGCCCTCCATCGATCCCTGTCCTCAGCCAGACCAATTCAATCCATACAATTCGATCAACATCCATACACACATTCTTAAATTTGTACTCATTTCTATACAGATATTAAAATACGTCGTAGATATATGGCATAAGAAAAACCACTCTTTCTTATTGAGATGGGCTTCGAACTCTGTAAAACCGCCGAAATCCTGAGATCCATTCTTCCACGATCACAATATATTCTCATATATATATATATAGAAAACCGAAATTAACGGCCGTGGGGATTCGTTGCGCTGACCACACAACACCCTCTATCCGCTAAACTTGGCACTAACTGTGCCGACAAGCGGCGGTCGCTCGATCGCTATAGTTCGTTTGCGGACTCAAGCCACAGATTATATATACATATACACTACATACTGGGGATGTAAGAAGTGCGTATTATTTTTTGGTTTGGTTCATTATCAATTTCAGTACCACATTCAAAGTGCCTACTTGGAACAGATCACTACTTATTGCCTTCCACAAGAATGCAGCATCACATATGAGCGCAACTGAAGTAGATATAAAGAACTGAAAACAAATAAACTCGGTGTACCAGGCATTGGATCCAG